TATCTATTCATCTCATCACATGTCACCTTTTTCCATAGGTATATATTGATATGCATTCCCAGTACATATTATATTGTGGTGCTTGGGAATATGGCTGTGTAGCTATTACCCATCACTTGTATGAAGAACAATGCTGCATTTTCCTCCTCACAAGTTGGGACCAACCTCTGTGATTCACCTGCGCCTCTCCTGGGTCAGGAAACCAGAACCTTACACTGGTTCCTGAATCTCCCAGTTGCATGGAAAATGTAGCATTGCACCTGTCAGCAGCATGAGCTCAGTCAATCCATCCCATTTCTGAAGGCTAATTAAAAAAAAGGTAATTAGAGAATGAACAGACGTGTTGTTACTTACACCATACAGCTCTGTGCGAATTCTAACAAAACACCTCCTGTACCAAGTTCCTGTATCGCTCTCTATTTCTATGAGCTCGTCTATCTGCTTTGGAGTTTTGATTCTGTTAACCTAGAAATAAAAACAGAACAGCAAATATTTGCATTTTCTTTAATCATTAACTGCCTGTGGAGTATTACTGGAAGGTTTTAGTAAATCTCACAAACTGAAAATGAGCAGATATTAAATCTGTGTCTACACTAGAAATGCTTTAGAAATACAAAGGAATAGCAGCACACCATAATACCAAAGTTTGTTACGGATGCAACTGTATGGAAAGAGCTCTACTTTCAAAGCATGCAGAAAACTCATTTCCTCTGACTGAAAGAAGCTATTACTGTCAGGTTTTGCTAGAATATTGCTGTATACCCCTAATGCCACAAAGGATAAAACATTATTTAAACTCTCAGTTAACCATGTCCAGAGTTTGCTATCAAGCTGTTTCTGATTTACTATCACAAAACTGTTGAAAGTCTATTGATTAAAGACACAGTAATGAAAACAGAAGTATTTGAAATGCCAAGAATTAATAGCTGAATAACATTTTTTCTTTTGTTCTTATTTCCTGTAGTGTTAGACAGGGAAGTCTCTTTGTCTTTTGGATGTTGACTTTAACTATCCATTTTAATGAAGAGTGAAAAAGTTAGGTGAAATGATCTGGAACCATGCATGTTATTGCTGTTATGAGCAATCACTTACTTCATCTGAAGTGAAATGAGATAAACAGACATCAGGGAAAAATACAGAATTACCAGTGACAGAGAATGTGATGTTGCCTACAATGCTAATTTTCACTTGAACTCTCCTGTGTAGCAGAACAAGAATGAGCTATATGGTCTTTCCAGACACAGGACCTGACAAACTTATACCATTGTATGGTTTTGGTTTGGCCTTCTATTCTACTCCCAGGTTCATAGCGATATTACAAAAGGCACTGTAATCATCCACAGTTTATTTAAAAAGACAAATAAAGAATGGAAAGGAAATAAACAAAATGGGGAAAGGGGCTAACATACTAGGAGAGCAAGAAATGGAGTGTTCAATGTTTAGATGCAATTTCTGAAGCTTTTGGTTCTTCTTAACAGAATGAGAACATCACCACCCACAGATATATCACGGTGGATTACAGGACACCAGGGAGTAGCAGTATTGATGGTAAAGCTCTAGTTTTCAGCTCACTGCTTTTACAGATGTACACTGTTTAAGATGCACCAGCAGCCTCATCCCGTGAACAAGAACAAACAAAAGCCCACTAAGCGGTTTTAACCACTCTTATTTCTGAAATACTGCAGATCACTGTCTTGCCAAACCATGACTGTATCAGAACCCTGTACTCTTCTAATCATGCCTTTTCCAATAGCAATAATCCTGTCTGCATCTTTCCATTGATTTTAAGCTTTTCTTAAACTGCTTTTATGAAACATGTTATACAAAAGACTGAGTTGAGTCCTCCAAGATTATTTAAGAGCTTGTACATGCAGACATCCTCCCAAGCCACACCTCTGGGCAGAAAGGGCATGCCTTTTAAATCATGCTGTATAAACCAGTAGCACTTTTGTAGGCTCAGGGGTAGCCTTTTAACCTTCCTGGCCACCTGACTCGTTTGGAGCTGTGGAGATTGAAGAAAATATGTATATATCCCAGGACCACTATATGCGACTGGGAACAAAAAGCCCCTGGCTTTGATGGTTCTTTAACATAAGAAAAGTCCTGTTGAATCAGAACAATTGTCCATCTGGACCATGCAAATTCAGCTGTCAGTATATGAAGAATGAAAGAAAAACCAATAAAGAAAACCTATTTTAATGAAAATGGAACTTCTGTTTAAAAGCAACAGCTAGAAATACGCAATGTTTCAGATTCTCCAAAATCAAGACCTGTTGCAAAGGAAAATGCTTCCAGAAAAAAAGAGATTAATTATTACACGTCAGTGAAAGAATGGAGAGAATTCTGGTCTATTTTAAGGACCCAGGAAGGTAATTAAGCATATACATACACATTTAACTTGGGTGGTTCCATAATATAAGATACTATCCATTCACTCCTACCTCTGTTAGTGTCACTGTTTTCAGGATTTTCAAAAGTATTAAGAGCTACCACCTCCACAGTCAATAACTAGAACACATCCATTTTTGGAGTTTCTAACCATAAAACCAACCGTTCACCAGTCGATGCCTTCTCTGTTCTAAAGGTTTGAAGATAAAATCCTCAATAGTATAAGTAAGAAAAATAAACACGATTTGTGAAAAAAACTTCTAGAAAAAGATGAAATCAATATACTTAGGAAAACATATAAAAGGAAAGCACACTAAAACTATAGCAGTAATGGATAAAAAGTTACATCAGCTATAGAGTTAGAAAACATACTATCACAGCATATCTGGTGTAACTACTGACATGAAGCAGAGGAAAATAGTAACACATAAGTCATAGAATGGTACTGGATGAAGCAATGGGGTTTAGGAGAGCTATGTGAATAAATTACTGAGACAAAATGTCACAATATTGAGGAGTAACTTATACTAAGAAAAAGAGACTAAAAGGATGTCCCAAACAAATTAGGCATAAGTTCTTTGCTTTCTGAGTCTTATAAGATAAAGTGCTGATATTATCTAATGCGGTGACAATGATGCAATTCTAATCATATTAATGCAAGCTAAAAATAGGGATTTCTACACACTGTAACCTTGACACACAATACAGTATTTCTAATCCTTCAACTCCTTGATATCTGTAGTTGTTTTCCCAATGTTTGTGACAGACACTGGCAAAAATCCCAAGTGGTGGTTTTTGCTTATTTGTGCCTTATTCATGATCGACTAATTAACAAACATAGCTATAAATAAAGCGCTGATTTCAACATGGTTCAGTGTCACATTTTAACACTCATAGAGAGAAAGACTTGTTAGATCACAAGAACTGCAAACAACAAGCATGTGCTTTGTTTTCTTCTCCACGGCTGCTTTAGGACGTGATTACGATTATATCGAACCGATGTGAGACTGTGGCTGTTCCCCCCTGAGGGGGACAGGGTCTGTGCTATGGCTGACTGTGCAATCAGTCAATGAATATCAGTGCTGGCAGAAGGAAAACAAAGAGTGACTGTGGGCAGGCATACTGTGTCTGAAAGCAGCTCAGATCAGCAAGAGCCAATTGTGAAATTACACCCTAGTTATATGGTGTTAGGCAAATCCCTTTACCCATAAATGAAATCAGAAAATAAAATATTAGGTTAGATGGGATTAAGTGTAGGTCACCAGCATATCAATAAATATGGATTTAACATGACAGATGTGCTAACCAGTCTTCTTTCAAGATAAATATAGGAGCTCCTGAGCTTCTTTGTGGAAAAAATTAAATGGAGGCAATGGAAACTACGTCCAAGGCAATAAACTGCAAGTCTCAGTGGAATAAAGTTATACGGTCAGATGGTCATTCTTTGAGACTGACTGCAAATGCAGAATCTTTAAGACGATTTGTTAATTGAGTTACTTGTGCATTAAAGTAAGAAGAAAGCCTCTGGAAGAGCAAAAACATCCCACACATGGCTCTGAGAGGGAGCAAAATGCCCGCACTCCCACGGCAGAGCACAAGATGGAAAGGCAGACTGGATTTCAAAGCAAGAAAATGCCTTCCATTGTTTCATCCTACTGTATCCAGGAAGACAGAATTGTTGCGTATATTCTCCATAAACAAGGAAGACGACATAAAAAAGTCCCACTTCTGAACTGCCAATTTCTCCTCCAAATAGAAACAACCCATCAATACTTTGAATATGGCCTTATCATTAGACCTGCAAATCAACAAGATGCAGTTGACCTTCCACGATATTTTGAGAAAATTACATGTGTGAAATTACTATTTCACACAAGTGAAAATGAACTTTTTATAATTATTTTTTCAGCTGATAAAAATGAAAAAAATAACAATGTCAAAACTTTATAGACACAACAGCCAACTAATTTGGACTTCTATTTGCCTACTGTTACTATTACGGGTGAAGTAAACTTAATGAATAAAACACAAAGTCTATTAAGTATCTTGGTACACTAGAGAAAATTATCACACTGTGGGTTCGTACACTCAAGAATATGCTGAGTTAAGGTTGATATCTTAACATATATGTAATAATTTCGGTAGGAATTAGGTTCTTTTATTTAGATATTTAGAGAACGAATGATTGGCTCTGTCATGCAGAGTATTAATATTGATTGCTTAAGTCCTTCAGACCTTGCCAGTCAGCAAGCTCGCTGATGTGCTAAGTGATTAGCTTTAAAAGCAGTACTCACTGTGAAGACTTTTTCAGGCTGACCACGAGCTCGCATGTTTGTGTCATGAATTTGCTTGAGTATCATCCAAGCTTCATCATGTTTTCCAACCTAAACGTGTGATCAAAACATTTAAAGAAAATATACATACAGATTAAGATACTCACTGTACTCACTGAGTAATCTTAATGCCTGTTACACAGACGTCATGATGCAAACACAGAAACAATTTTGACTGGAATCCCAAAACCGTTTGGAAAGTTATACCTCCAGCAAGAACCGTGGGCTTTCTGGCATAAAGGTGAGGGCTACCACAGAGGAGACACAGGGCAGGGCACAGACGATCACAAATACTCGCCAGCTGTGGAACTGGTAGGCAGAGCCCATGCTGAAACTCCATCCTATAAAAGGAGAAATTCACAAAATGTAGAGGAATATGGAGTATTGTACACGGGAGTCTGCAGCTTCTTGGAGATACAAAATGATACCTGTATTTAAATGAAGCCTGATAGATCTCTTTTATTTCCACAAATATTGATGATTTCACAAATGATCTTACACTATGAAATTCAGACTCTTGCATGTGACTTAGTCACGCTGGAAAATGGCTATATTATGCGGGGTGGGAAACTTCCTTACGCAGGGATGAAGAAGCCTCTTTCAAGTCTCAGCAAAATCTGCATGTAGGTAGTTACATGAACAAAAAAGAGACACCATCACCGTATGTAAGAATACATATACAAAGAAATAGTTTTCTATGAATACTGGAAGAAGGGAGAATTAAAAATCTACACTCAGATGACATATTTTATGGAATTTTACAGCCTTCTTTATTATTATTAACTTTTTCTACAAAAAATTGATTTCAATACTCTTGATAAGAGTCTCCTGATGTAACACAGTGCACATATAGAGCATTTACAGTGCCTGACTTCCATTTCCATCCTGCTCCAAAGCACTATACCACTCCTTAAGTTCTGATAAAAGTAAACTGACAGCTGTCCCCCATTCCCCATGACTAGATGTACAGGAAAAAATACTTGGTATTTAAACTTACATCTGAGATGAGCAACCTTAACGCTGAGGTAGAGAAAGAATGTATGATTATATACAGATATTAAGAAAACAAAACAACAGGAAAACAACTCTCCTCATCTGAAAAATTGATCTTGAGATACGTCTGAGTGCTGACTCTATAGCTGACATCCTGTAGAAAGCATTGATAAAATATACTGAGAACAACACAAAAGGAAATACTGGAAAACCTGTTGTGAAACTGCAGGTCTGGTAGTCCAGCTTTTTAATAAAATATCTGATTGTTTGGTATGTTATGACTAGACTATTGACATGCTAGAACTGCAAGAAACCTAAGAATTTGTCTTAAGAAAGAGAAAAATATTATTTGGGTAACTACCTGGCCTTTTAGTCTGGCTTCAATATGGCAGAAATTTTCAAGCAAAACTTTCAAGGATAACTTATTAAAAGATCAGTGGAAGATATAGCTAAAGAACAGAAGAGGTTACTGGAGGAAAATGGGATCCTAGCTAATGAAAGAGCTGATGCCAGATTAATCTGATAAATTTCTTTGCTAACTGATTTTTCTAGACAAAAGACATGGATAATTAAATCTGTCTAGATGTCGGTAAACAACTGGTACAATATGGTGCCAAATGGCCTGTTAAATAGTTCTTCAAAGGAGATATTTATCTGTTAAATATATACTGTATTTTGGAATTTAAAGATCTCATGCTGTGGATCATCAATACATTCTTGGAAAACAAATTCATTTTCATGTTAAAGTACTTACATGTTACCATATGAAAAATACAGTCAACCCATGATTTATTTTTTTCCCTTTATCAACAGCTCAGTGAAACATTTTGATCTCCAGACAAGGGAACCTGTTTTTTCTGGTCTCCTACAAAATTTCTGTGTGTCTGAAACTATACCAGCTTGCTCTACAACCTCATTTAGCCCTGCCATCCTTACCCCAGGAAGACAGAGGTAAAATCAATGGCAGTGTTGGTAATGATCTTGGAACGCCATGTTACTTTTTTTTAAGGCTCCAAATAAACATACATTCCCTCTCCAAAGTTCCCTCCAACAAAAAGAGGCTGTCAGAAATGTAATGTTAAATTTGGTTCTGAAATAGAACTTGGACTGAAAATTTAAGAATAAAAAATATGAACAAAAAAAGGATCTAAAAGTGTATTAAAATTTATATTTTACTGATTTTTGGAAAATATCAACTTTTTGTTTTATGGAACTTAAAATGTTAAATATTATGGGTATACTTTACATCTAAATTCGGAAGGGAGGGAAAAAAAGAAGGAAAGGTTTACAGTGAGTTAATGAGGCAGTTAGAAACCATACCTGTGTTTTGCGTATTGTGTACACATTCTATTGTAATCATTAGAATCATATTCTTCATTATGTATTTTAAACTATAGTAAAGGATCACTTGATACAGAGCTTGCAAAATTGTATCCTTTTGGTTAAGTAAATTTTCAGTCAGAGCAGTGAGCTGATCTGACTTGCTTGGCAGCCATGCAACTGCTAGTGCCATGGCAATGGCAGCACAGGACGGGGATGTTCCTCTTCCAGAACAGCACGACAGAGGTACTGGCTCTTTCACTATAAACTGCCCCAAAAATACACAGAGCCACTGGTATATTTAGACAACCTGCCCTTCACCACTTTGGTTTATGTTTTATGAGATTGGGCTGCACAAAGGGCACTTTTCCAGTAAATTAAATCAACCTGGCTTTATACCTGTTACAAAACAACAGCAATATCTTGTGCTCTGTAGCCAGTCCTGGAAAATACTGGTGATAATTTATTTTAAGGCGTCATTTATTAATGTAAGCGAGCCATACTACACTTAATTAAAAGCAATGAGTGCACCGTTCATCCTACTGTCATCCTGACAACCTACAAAACATCTTTTTTACTCCTCAAAATGTCTGAAGGGCATGCCAAGTGAAATGTTCATTATGTTTATTGCTCTTATTCCATCTTTTTCACTTTGTTTTTCATTAGCTGCTGCAATTTATCTTGTGATTTAACATATCTGCTGAATTAATGATAATAGTGAGCATCAGGATTATAAGAAGAAATTGGTAGGAAAAAAGCCAGCTGCAACACAGCTTTCTTGAGGCTGCTCTGGTGTCTATTCCAGCACCAGCACTAGATCAGCAAAACAAACATATATTTTAAATGCAGAGCAAGTTTAGATTTATTCTCGTGTTCAACACATCCCATTTTCCTAGGTCATGAGCTAATCTGGAAAATGATGCCATTAGAGTAGCTCTGAATTTAGCTCACAAAGTGGCTTTCATTCCTATTGTATGTAAGTCTTGAAACCAAATGGAAGGGTGTTCTTGGCTGTAACTCAATTTGCTTCTCCCTTCCCTGATTTATGACACAATAGCAAAGACAGAGCAGCTCTACTTGTGTTCAGAGCACTGCACAGCAGCCAAAAGCTAAACTTCACCCTTGCTCCCTGGCTTTCCTGTATTTGAGAGTCGTTAATCTTGAAAACGGTGGCAAGTCCCAATGTTTTATGAATTGCAAAACACTTGGTCCAAATGCATCTTGGGAATGATGTGCTATAGAGCAACGTAAAACCCGCATGACTGAATCTGAAGCTGCTGCAGCAACCTTTGTGCTGAATACCACCCCTCCACTTTACTGATGGCTGGAAAAGGCCCAGTGAATCACAGACCTGGCAATTACTGATTACAGAAACAGCAGCACGCAGCAGAGCAAAACCAAAATGTACAAGATGCTAATGTGTATCTATTTACCAGTTTATATGTTGAATTCAATGTCAACAAAATCTTCCCTCTAACACAGCATTTATTCTGCTCCATAATATTAATATATTAAAAGGATATTATAAACAATTTCTTGCTCCAGAGGAGAGAAAAGAGCATTTCTGTCTTGGAGTTTCTGTATAAATATAGAGGTAAACCTGTTCATATTATGCTGAATTTTATAAATGTATATTACCTGATAAACAATAGGTATCTTCAGGGACAAGGATCATCTTTTACAGTGGCTAGGTTACTAGAGAGCAGACTAATGGGGATAATTTGCTTAAGTTCCCAAACTGAGGGCTGAAAGGGAACATGGTATCTCTTTACAAATCCGTATGGGTTACACTAAAGTACAACGCGGGCAATGAAAAATATGGGTGCCTATAGGCTCTAGATAAATACTGGCTGGCAAGGGAAAGGTTGCTAAATACCAAAGGAATGAAGTTGTGAAACATCTTTCTAAGAGACTAATGTGGGCAAAGAAAGCCTAACCGAATGTAGGTATTTTGTGGCATGGTTAGCCAAAGACTGGCCATTCTTGATAACAATTTTTGTTAATGATTCACTAGGAATCAGAGGAATTAGATTCATAGCAGTGTCAGATATTGTCAAGTCAAGTTTGCATAAATTTCTGTCTTTTGGTAGGTCAAAGGTGGGAGTAGATGCAAGAATATCCCTAAAATTAGGGGTGGAGGAGAAAGATAAGTGAGGTATTTATAGGAATTCATAGACTCGACAGACTGTTCTGCAGAATCCTTTTTATGATTTTATAACTTTTCTTATTTCTGTCTTATCATACAATCTTCGGTCATAACTCAGCTTTCTAGCCTCAATTTGTAGTGTTTTAAATTTGAAAAGCTTCCAGTAACTGATATGTGATTGCTGTAAGATATGTAATTGCCACGTGGTGGCACTGTTACCGCACGTCGTACAAATAAGTTTAAAAAATTTCTCCAGAAAGACTTCTACTATTAAACGTTGTGTTCAGTATTTCCCAAATCTAAGCTAAATCAAAATTATAAGAAAATATTTTGCACCTCGTAGCACCGAAATACATTATTATTATTGCACTTATATTTAGTCTGTCCTGGCATTATCAAATTTAGCTGAGTAACATCTAGGATTTGAGCCCATATATTTTAGTGGTACTGATTAGAATAATGGTAAAACATCACTGAAACTGAAAAAAAAACATAGTTCAGGTAAGTTATATAGTTGAGAAAGCTCATTTAGACATTTTTACAAGGCTGAGTGAAATACATGGTTTCTAACAAACGCAGAAATAAAGTTTTCAGAATTATTCTGTAATTGTATTAATGTGAAATTCAACTAACACAAAGTAGAATGCTTGTCTTTCCTGTGATTAGATTATTAATATCACATGGGAAAGGCAGTGATATTTTTAGCCTATATAGATAATTAGATACTCTACAAACCCACTGGCTCAGCAGGTCAGCTGGTGGTAATTTCTGCAGAAGGAATCTGGAAATAAAACAGCTGAAGTGTGGCAGACCATGATGGAGGTACCTTAACAAAGGTGCCCATAGAAGACTCTCCTCCATCTGCCTCTACCTGGCTCTCTA